GCGCCAGAGGGTGTGGGTTCGATCCCCACAACTGGTAAAACTATTTTGTGATGAACTTAGTGTTTTTATATTTATAATATGCATATATCTACTGTGAGGTGGTACTTATCCGGACGGACTTGCCCATTCGTGCAACCCCATTGCGTCGTCCTACCACAGTCTGAATAACTCCTTTAATGATTGTTTGATGTCCTGAATGTCAAGAAGAAACTAATGCTGGCATATATTTGATAATTATAAATTGGAAGGCAGCAATGACCTATTGTTTCTGCGGTTATGATTACGTTCGAAAATAGACATTTCAAATGACTGAATGTCCGAGGATTCCGAGGATCGATTTTGATAGTCAATTATCATATCATAGGATTTATTAGAGTAAAATAATCTACTTACTAGCTCGTCTGCTCAGTGTACTACGATGTAAATACTCTTGTAAACATACAGAATACAAAAAACCGGCCAATTGCCAGTATGACTTGCACTGGACGGGTTCCGTACTATCTATAAAAACGGCATTAAAAATCATGTGGTCTATTTTTTATCATTTGTTGTTATAACAACAGTAATTCATCATCTGTGAAAATTTAAACTGCGTAACTATCACGGTTCATGAGATACATCCTGGTGACAGACGGACAGACAGACAGAATGACAGCGGAGTCTTAGTAATAGGGTCCCGTTTTAACCTTTGCGTACGGAACCCTAAAATATCTTTTCTCGCCTTTGTCTACCGCGAACCGGCTAAGAGATGACAGAGTTCGAATGTTCGTGGTAAGATTTAATATTATTTTAGCAGCATCAAGCGTTTGCCGGTAAACGACCTCTGTTCGTTCCTTTTGTCCATTTTCCTCCTGTTTTGATATTTAATTCTTCAACATGTTAAATAAAATGTTAGATTTATGTTATCCTTATTTCTTATCGCAAGTTTTGCTCGTTTATCGAGCACAAATGTCCTTGGAACTGCGTCTTTCGCAGAATATCAATTTGGACTCCCATATTTATAAGGTCCCGCGTTTGTGACTTAGGTTAAGAGATGCGTAATGCGGTGCATTTCGGGGGCTTATTTTGACACATAGTTCATTAGTTATTAACACACAAACGAGCACACACATAGACATACGGATATAATAGAGATGCAATTCTTCAAAATTTATGGAATTTTAGGATTTATTACGTTTCAAAGGATAATGCACCATACTTTACTGGTTCCATACCATTGAGTCATTTTGCTCCTTCCATTTGATTTACATGTTTAGCCGTGGGACGGAATATCAATAGGCATTATGTTGTCAACATTTTATTTATATGACACTGATCAATAATGCATTCACCGTTTGCCCAACGCTATATAAAACATTTATTCCAGTAATAAAATATTGTTCATTTAGCGTTAATTATGGTATAAGCTTATTAGTTTTATGATGTGCAGTGCTTATATGCATTTAATTCAATAATTTAATTTTATTGCAATTACGACGATTTTTCTTCAAGTCACGGGATGATTTCACCTCAAGCCCCGGGTTGACTGGTAGAGAATGCCAATAGACAATTACTTTTTCAGTTGTTTTCAATAAAATATCCTGCATTTCTTCAAGTAAGAAGGTGGCTAGCGAGCTGTCGGTTGTCTGATGTGAAGTGATAACGCCGCCCATAGAAATTTTCAAGACCCGTAGTGCTTCAGTTTTGCGTTGCCACCTTTGAATAAAGTGGGCGACTCACCAGACGGAGCCTTGAAGTGTAATACTTCTACTTCACGCCGTTCTTCTGTGTTATCGTGGTAATTTCCTGGATCTTTTTTTACGTTGGAAAAATCCTTCATGGATCCCCTACCACCGGATAGTGGAGGGGCATTGGTGTGTGGGAATCCCAGTCAGAAACGGGTACCCACTAAAAACCCACGTTGCACCTGTCTCTGTAACAGCGTGTAACAGCGAAGACTGTTGCTCGAATGGGCAGGTCCGTCCGGATAAATGCCACTACCTCACAGGAGATCAGCGTAAAGTGGAAGTGGTACACGTATGGTGAGTGCGGTGGCTGGGGCCCACTTTATTTAAAATTTAAATCTTCGTGCGCCTTCGTGCGCAAGTCTGGCTCGCACTTGGCCGGTTTTTTTCAATCCAAACTCAATAACCAATACCAAAACTACTAAACTGATATACAGCCGTGAACCGTTATAGTTAAACCGTTGAAATTTTCACAGATTATGTATTATATTTCTATTGCCGCTAGAACAACAAAAAACTGGTGGTCCCATACAACGAACATGATTTTTTTTTGCCGTTTTTATATATAATGGCACGGAACCTTTCGTCTGCGATTCCAACTTGCACTTGGCTGTTTTATTAATTTGTGCAATCAGTAGCAATAACAATAAATGTAAGTGTAAGTAAGCCATCAAACTCGTGGGTTCTGGCTAACCGACGAGTTTTGCGTTGGCTGAAGCTGTAGGAATCTACGGATTGAAAACAAAGGCAATTAGAGGAATCGATGGCGCAGTTGCCAAGGTATTGGCTTCGGCGTCGGAGGTCATGGGTTCGATTCCCACACGGGAAAACTATTAGTGTGACCCGCAGATAGTTTTTTCGCATCTGGGTGTTGGTCCGCGCGAAATTTATGTTTGTAAAACGTCCTTACAACACAGGATAATGTTCTCCTAAAGTAAGGGCAACATTTTTAAAATAATAAAAAAAAAAAATAAAGAAAAAAAATATATATTTATGTTATAAATATGAAACAGTTATTAGGCTAAGAACACGGAATTACGAAATATAGCAAAACAGGGAAGCGGAAATTCGTAGCCGTGGCCCCGGTAGGGTTTGAACCCAACCGTGACATTGCCGAAGATATATTTTCTAGGCCTCTTCTTCGGGCGTAAAATACATTAAAATACATATTTAAATTAGCTAGCGCCTCAATGGTATTTTTTAATCGCTATATTTCACGGTCACTGACTTCAACATTTAAATGAGTGTGTGAACTACACTGTGAAAAGCTGTAGAGAGATTATTCATCGCGACTTTATTAAAAGACCTTTTTTTAATGTGAAAAGTTACCAAGCGAGCAGACGGTTCACCTGATGTTAAGTGAATACCGGCTCCCATGGACATCTACTACACCCGAGGGTTGCAGATGCGTTGACAATCTTTTGAAAATTCCGGGCTCCGGCTACCTCACTCACCAAACGAAACGCGAAAGTATTATACTTCCACTTTACGCCGGTCTTCTGTGAGGTCGTGGTACTTACCCGGACGGGCCTGCCCATTCGTGCAACAGCCGAGGCTGCTGCATGGCCCTACCACCATGAACTACAGAAATGGGGTCAATATTCAAAGTAAAATAAATTCACCAGAACAGTTTCACCTGCACTTGTCGGGACTAACATATGAGCTCATTGTCGTAGAAATACGAATAAAAATGTAGTGAATTTTGATGCAGCTTATAAAAATGTACGATTTGCGAATATGCAACAAAATATTGTCTTTGATCTGTGGCTTTGACGCTGTGAAGGGTTTGAAAGGAAGAAGAGAAACTAAATACATCATTAAATTTTAGGTACTCTGTGTAGTACTTACGATAATACCACGATCTTTACAATAATTTTACGAACTGTATTGATTCAACTTCATTTATGAACAATAAATCAATAACTTGATAAGAATCGAGACAATTTAAAGAATAAGAAAGCCAATAATTAATTGCTTTTCAATCGACTTCGAAAAAGGGGGAAGTTCTCAATTCGACCGTATTTTTTCATATTTGTATCCTCAGAAATTGTTGACCGATTCAACCGATTTTGATTTTTCGTTTTTTTTTTAATTTATTTGAAAGCAGATGCTTTCCATGCGGTCCCATATTAATTTAATTGGTATTGGGCTCCGGAGAAACTAAGGGAACACCTGAAAATCAATACGGAATATCCTATAAAATGAATACAGAGCGAGATATTTGAAGTCGGATTTGTTTTTCGTTAATAAAAAATGGAGTAGTTTTATTACCAATTGCCTGATTGATTCAATGGTATAGTAATCCTAATTCAAAGTAATCTCCGTGCACTGTATGCTGTAACACATTTTTTTTAACATTGCCCTTACCTTAGGATAATATCCTGTTTTGTAAGGACGTTTTACAAACATAAATTTCACGCGGATAAACACCCAGATGCGAAACAATTATATGTGGGTCACACAAATAGTTGTCTGTGTGGGAAACGAACCCACGACCCCCGACGCCGAAGCCAATACCTTGGCAACTGCGCCTCGAGCTCCTCATTTCATTTTGTACTAGCTGTTCTATGCGATTTCATCCGCTAGAAAAGTTTCTTCTTCGCTCCCATGGGTCATACCGTGATGTTAAATACCCTTAACCTTCCTCAACAATTGCGCTATCGAATGCTAAAAGTTTTGTTAAAATCCGATTTGTAATTCCAGAGATTAGCGCGGTCAAACAAATAAACTCTTCATCTTTATTATATCAGTATTTTATTTTGTATGCTAATAGTTCATACTGATACAATTATAATGGAATCTTAAAAGTATTTAAATTTACACAACATTTTTACACAACATTCTCTAGTCCCAAGCTCAAGTCCTAAGCAAAGCTTGTACTATGGGTAAAAAATTTAAATTTTTACAAGAATAGTTTAATTGAAGAAGACTGCTATTCTATAGGACAATCAAATTATAAATTCTGAATAACAATTAAATATTAAATAAGAAAAAAACTTGATTTCAAAATTTTTTTAATTATTTATTGCGACATAAATAATTTTATAGCTACTTTTTTTGTTACTGACCGTATTACAAAAAAGAAGAAGTAACGGTAGGATATTAACGAAGGAACAATATTTACGAAGAATTCTGGTGTTTGATTCACACCACAATTCTGAATGGGACTCACACATACCCTGCCCCCCATCCGGTGGTCCATAAAGGATTTTTTCCGACGTTAAAAAAGGCCCTACCACAAGCGATCGTCTATATATTTCTTACTTTGTTCACAGGATGGCCACGCAGGCTACGATTGTATATTTGAATGCAGTCATCATCTGTTTGTTAGCTTCGGGTCACGCTGACGGCGGTGATTATGGCCCAAGACCTGAAATCGGCTACCCAGCTGGTTTAATACCGAATTGTGAGTAAGTTTGAGCTATTTGAGATTTATTTTTTATAGCGCTAAACTGTGCAGAGTTTAGCGCTATAAAAAATAAATCTCATCTTAAGAAAATAAATTTGATGTTTCATCTTAAGCAATGAAACATCAAATTTTGTAGAAAATCCGTTCAAGTGCGGGTTGGACTCGCGCACAAAGGTTCTGTATCATCTATAAAAACGAAAAAAAATCATGTCAGTTTCATGGGAGCCCAACTTAAACTATTATGATTTTTAGTATTTGTTGTTATAGCGGCAACAGAAATACACCATCTGTGAACATTTCAACTGTCTAACTATCAGGGTTCATGAGATACACCCTGGTGACAGACCGAGAGACAGACAGCGGTGTCTTAGTAATAGGGTCCTGTTTTACTCTTTGGGTGTGGAACCCTAAAAATAGACGAAAATTTTCTCGCCCCTGCAGGGAACCGACGTCTTCTGGATTCGCGCTTTGACGCTTCAATCACTGAGCTCTAGGGCTCAACTTATTTTATCCAGATTGTTTTTTCGTATTTTAAGCAATGCTTGGTGCATCTATTTTTATCTCCTTTTACAGCATACAATTTTAAATATATTTTCTACTAGCTGCTGCCCGCGACTACGACTGCGTAGAATAGTCTGTAGGCGTAAAATACAGACAGAAAGACAGATATACATAAAGATATGTATATAAATTATACCCTTGTTTTATTCTGATGTAAAAGCTATATTAATGTAACCTTTCATTAAAATCGATTCATTACTATTTGCGTGAAAAAGTAACAAATATCCATCCATACATACAAACTTTCACCTTTATAATATTAGTAAGGATAAATTTTTATGTTTAAACAACCAGAACTATCTTGAATCGAATACAAAATAAGGCTGAAGACGGTAACGATGCCTATGAATTCCTTGATTTCTGTGATTGATGACGTATTTTGTTTATTCAAGGTTGTATTTTGGTATGCAATCATTCAGTAATTAATAGGTGCGAACTAATAAAAAACGTAGCCTTTATAAAAATATATAAATGACAAATAGACAAGCAATAAACCATTAAAAATATAATAATATATGTTAAAGGTATAACGGGGATTAGAACTGTTTACGACATTTCCGCATTAATATTTTAGATCCTCCTCTGACGTTATTTTGTGTAATGTCATATTTTCTGTAGCGACGTTACCATTTTAAGGAGGAAGGAGCATTTGTTACTGCGATTTATGCCTTCCTGCTTTGAATTTTAGACAACATCAAGAGCGCTACACAGGGGTTCGTGGTGAAATTATCGAATGTATTAAAATTTATTTAACCAAAAGAATAGGCTGAAGGCGTAACATTCAGACAGAAAGACAGATATACATTAATAATAATATATTATTGTAAATTTTCCTTAAAATCCATTCAGTAGTATTTGCATGAAAGAGTAACAAACATCCATCAATACATACAAACTTTCACGTTTATAATATTAGTAAGGATAGTAAATTAAGGATTTAAACTCTATCAGTCTTCACAAAAAAAAAATCTTTTCACTCATGTTTCATTCGCTCAGGTTTTTGATTATCTGCCGACTATTCTTTTAATATTTTAAATTACATCTTAAGTATATTTTCATATATATTTCATTTTATTAATAACAGATATAACATACATTGTTACTACAACAACAAAACAACTTCAATAAACAAGTTTAATAACTTTGTTGGGTTCCTTCAGATTAATATCTTTTTGCTGCATATGACACGTAACTGTATTTGCTATCTAGCATATTACTGCTAATTACTACTGCTAATGGTAAAATTTATAACTAGTGCAGTTGTCGTATTAAAGTTTGAAATCTTAAGAAGGAACATCAGCTAAGTGATAAAGTTCTTGATGCCATTGGATCTAAAACAGGTTGAATGTTCAGAATTTATCGTAGTACCATAAAATCAAGCTTTAGCTTTAGCTATACGGACTGAAAGCAAAAACACCAGTTAAAGTAAAAAAAAAATTGTGTGGCCCACAGATACTTGTTTCGCATCTGGGTGTTTGTCCGCGTGAAATTTATGTTTGTAAAACGTCCTTACAACACAGGATAATGTTATCCTAAAGTAAGGGCAATGTTTAAAAAAAAAAAAAAAAAAAAAAAAGAAAAGAAAAGAAAAGAAAAGAAAAAAAAGAAAAAAGACAAAAATACTGAAAAGGAATTAAATATTGAAAGAAATGTAGTAGAATTTTTGTGAATTTTTACGTATTATTTTATATTTATAATTATTTATATTTATAATTAAAAATATTTATAATTGTGTCCATTGCTTAAAATACGTGTATCCACATGTATGTGTTTGTATTTGTAACATCAAATATGTTTTAAAATATGATGTGTGTGTGTGTATTTAATTGTAAGGAAGTATATACGTATAAGATCATTGAATAAGTTAAATTGGGATTAGAACCGATTAAAACATTTCCGTGTTGATCTTTTATATCCTATTTTGATGATATTATGTGTAAAGTTCTTTTTTTTGTGGCACAATTAACATTTTAAGCAGGAAGTAGTTGTTATTAAGATTTATATCTTCCTGCTTCACAAAAACTTCAATAGACAACTCTATTATTTTGTTGGGTTCGCTCTGAATATTAAGCTTGCTGCCGATGCATAATTGTTTAAGAATAGGTTTCAGAAATCAATAAATTATATTTACTGATCGATTTTATTATTAATTTCATTTATATACTGTCGTATATATGGCATTATTGTTACCTGAACGTTATTTAACCTAGCTTGCTTCACCAGCTTGCTTGAACAGAGTTGAAAGCTTATTTATAATTGTACTGTAATATATTTTTGTAGGTCCCGGCGTTTTGAAAAATGCCACAATCGGCGCAAAGAATATGCTCATGTTTCGCATCATGGTGCACAAAGTGACGAACGGCCAGATTCTGAGACAGAACTACCCAATAGCCTCGGCAGCTAAATCTTTAGCTAAAGATAAGTTAGTGGGTAAGGGAAATGTACCATAATTTTGACTAACACCATCACTAACAACTAGAGTGCAAAGCGTTTGTAGCTTACAATTAAATTTCCTACTTGGCAGTCAAGTCTGTGCTCAACATAAATAAAACCTTTATGGTGATGTAACCTTCAAAAATGTCATATGTTGCAGGAGTATTCCTCTTCTATTCCTAATTTTTTTTACGTGAGAAGGTAGCAAACGAGCTGGCAGTTTATTCGACGATGAGTGATAACCGCCACCCATTGACATACGCAAAATACGAAGGGTTGCAGATGCGTTGCCGTAAGTGAGCACCGGCTAGCTTACTCACTGGACGAAACGCAGAAGTAAACGAGTAACACTTCCAACTAACGCCGATCTTCTACGAGATCATACTTACCCAGACGGACGTCCATTCGTACAAGAGCGAACACTGGTGTGGCCACAGTTAATGCTAAGGTTTACTATATAAGTCGTCTTTAAAATTCTGATGCGTGGAATAAGAAGGCCTTGGCATGTGATGGAGTGTCCGGGCTGGATGGAAGAATTTGAGCTTGGAAGAAGAACATAGACTTTCATTGAGGGAAACTTCGTATTAACAACGTTTCTCTGCTTTCACAGATTTTAGAAAAAAGAAGACTATGTTGTACGCCGGCGGGTTCTTCGACAGCGCTTCCTTTCCCTTCAGCCAGTCCATAGGTTCCGCCTACTCCAAGCGCGGATATAACGTCTTGATGACGGAAACCTTTCACTTTCTCACGCATATTTACCCTAAGTAAGTTCCTGTTTTATTTCAGTATTTTACTAAATCGTCAGATCAGGATTGGATCTGTTCAGATTTTGACGTTGATTTGTCTTGATCTCGAGATACCGTGGATACTTCTTTCTCAGATACATAAAGTGTTCCTTTAAGTGTTGCATTATTGCCTTGAAGCTTTCAATTTATTCAAATTTTTAATTAATTAATTTAATTTTTAATTCAAAACAACAATTGTTTTTCTAAGATAATCTATTTGGCAGCTAATAACCACTGTGAAAGTAATGGAGCGTTTGTAGTAAAAGTAGATAAACCTTCCGTCCCCAAAAATTACTTGCGGTTACTGTTTTTCATTTAAGAAGGGAAAGTTCTTATGTATGTATATATATATCGAATTCATTTGTTACAAACAAAAGAATATTAGACAATTTATACAATAATAAGATTTACATTTAAATATGAATACAATGCAACTTAGATCTATACTTTTTTATTTTGTCTCTAAAGAGTCAATGAGCATTGTCTTAATTGCATACAATGTAAAGTGATGTGGTGATATGAATTCAATAAAATAAAAAAGGGAACGCCAAAGTTGATATCCTCTGACGAAGTGAAGTTGCAAACATAATATACAGGGAGATTTTTTGAGAAGTGCCCTTTACACAGGAGGTTCAGACTCGGTAGTATAATCGTTTATTGAAATAAAAAACAAAGTTTTTTTTTCCAAAAAATGCTATTCTATTCCCTAAAAAACAGAACGTGTTGACAATGCAGTAGTCATTCATAAATACCTAAATTTTACTGTGCACGAACTTACGTGCGTGTTAGTTATGAATGATCGCGCGTATAAATGACGCACTCTTTGAGATAAGTTCAAATGAATGTAATTAATTACTTACGAGTGATTTTAAATATTTATCATTTTTATATAACATTATTTATGTCTAGAAGTTAATAAAAAAATGGATACACTTAGAAAAGCCACCCTGTATTTAAATCTCGACATCTTTCCACTTTATTGAATTACTAGCAATAACGCGGTGGTAACTTACGAACGTATTAATTTTTATGTAAAATTTTTGACATTTCATAAGAACGCATAAGCGTCTATGTGATTAAATATATTTATGATTTTTTTTTTGATAATACTTGGCGCCATCTAGTGTGCTTTTGTAAGTAGTTTTATACTTTACAATATGAAACACCTTACAAATAACATATTTTACTATGAATATTTGTAGATAATGAGAGATCTCTTTTACCCTTAAAATTTATGATAATTTTATTTTTAGCTTCTAATCTCTGCACTAATCTTGTCATCGACCGCTTAGCTTAAGTTATTGTCCGTTTCTGTGTCGAAAGTTATTGCCCGTTTCTTTTTCGTTCATTATTTCTCATTATATTTTCAAAGAATGATTGTTTATTTAATTGTTCTATAGTTCCTCTTGTTAGTTAAATACCATCTCTTACATTTAGCTAATGTATAAGTTTAATGATAAATAATTAGCAGTAGTCACTCTATTTAATCAGACCCAGACATTTTTTATAAATGTAAATATGTCTTAAATACTGACACGTCAATAGGCTTTTTTTAATGTTAAATGTGGGTAAACAAACAGTCGGTTCACCAGATGTTTAGTGATTACCGAAGCCCATGGACACCTTAAACACCGGACAAGTTGCAGATGCGTTTGATTATTAAAAAGTAGGCCCCGGTTACCTTACTCACCAGACGAAACCTCAAAGAATAATACTTCCACTTCACGCCAGTCTTACGTGCGGCTGCTGCACCAATGGCGAAGCCTTTCCGGGTAAGTACCCCGACCTCGCAGAAGACGAGCGTAAAGTGAAAGTATGACAAATACTTTCGCGCTTCGTCTGGTGAGTGAGGTAGCCGGAGCCCAATTTTTAAAAGGTTGTCAACGCATCTGTAACCCTCGAATGTAGCAGATGTCCATGGGCGGCGGTATTCACTTACCATCAGGTGAACCGTCTGCTCGTTTGGCAACTTTTCACATTAAAAAAAACGAGCGTCTGCATTTCCTTTACTAGCCTGCCCATTCGTGCAACAGCCGAAGCCGGCGCGCAGAACTCACTAGCTAACATCAACCGTGATCCCATTCCAGATCCGTGAGGCTGTCCAGGGTGCTCGGCGAGAAGATAGGCGAGTTCTTAGTGAGCTTGACGGAGCACGGATTGAGGGCTGAGAATCTGGAGTTGGTAGGTATCAGCATAGGGGCGCACATCGCCGGCTACGCGTCGAAGTACTTCTTCGCGGCGACCGGCAAGAAGCCGGCGCGGATCACGGGTCTAGACCCCGCAGGGCCCTGCTACCGGGCCCTCCCCCCTAATTCTAGGCTGCAGGCCAGCGACGCGGAGAGGGTGGACATCCTCCACACGAACATCGACGGCTTCGGCATAGCCGAGAGGCTCGGCCACGTGGACTTCTACGTGAACGGCGGCGAGTTCCAGCCGAGCGACATCCCCTTCATCCCGTGCCTGATCCTCTGCAGCCACTTCAGGTCCGCCTTCTACTTGTGGCAGGCGATAGAGCACCCCAAGAAGTTCATCGGCGTTAGGTGCGACTCGATCCAGGACGCGCGTTTCGCGAAGTGCTTCAACAATACGGAGACGAACTACGTGGGTTTGGAGACCAGGTTCGACAGGCCGGGCATCTTCTATCTCCCCACACACAACGAGTTCCCATATTACAGAGGGAAGGAGGGACTTAAGGAGGAGAACGAAATCTACACTTCAGTGAGTCGAAGAATCAATGCGGAGGAACTGCTTCAAGTTTGATCCTCAAACTACTGTAACTTTTTATTAAAGTGCAGTAATTGTATCATAAGTTGTAGTCAGTTTTTCTCGTAAGTCGTCTATTAATCGAATTACGTAGCGGCCTTTTATAAAAATAGTGTTCTCCCCTCTAAATAAAGGCCTCTGTATTGGGGATATTTCGAAGGATTTGTGCAATATTATATTTTTTGTATATTAAGTTATATGGAACGATTTTGCAGGCTTTGTAACAGTGGTCTTAAACTAGTTCTTTATGAAGAGATGAAGATATGGAGGAACTAATAAACCACTTCTCAAGAAGTCACTTGTAATACAGGGTATTCTATATGTTTAGTTGAAAACCAGTGTTCCGAACGCCGATGAACACAAATATGACTCTGTTATTCGGTATCAGGTTCAAAACAAGAGTCGAATTCGTCAAGTGTAAGAATTACAGAAAGAACGAGAAACCCTGCTCTGTGAAAATTCTACGTGCCGCAAAGAATGAGAGAGATTGAGTGATTTAAAGATATATAGAGATATCTCCCATGTGACGTAAATAAAAATAAGGGAATACTAAATCGTCACACTAGTGAGAAACATTATATATTTCTTTCAGTTAACGTCAATAAAAGAAGTAAAAGAGATTGCTAATTTCCACTGCCACACTACTGAGACATAGATAGACAGAGATACCTTTAAACACAAGTGAGTAAAAAATAAAAAGAGATTACTAACTCTCCACGAGTGAGAGACACGCAGATAGAGATATCTCTTACGTAGCGAAATGTGTATAAACGTGACTCGTTTTAGAGATTTCAATCACAATTTAGTAATTGAATCACCAAAATAGTTTCACTTGAATCATAATTAACGTATGTTCACAGAAATCAAGGTCAGTTACGTTTTTGAAATCCCTGGTGGTTCTTGTAAGACGTTAAGAATTAAGTATCAGGTCAGCCACTGGCTTGTTATCTACCTCCTCATAAAATAAAGTCAAATATATTAAGAACAAGATAGTTATTCACATGGCAATAATTATGTTGAACGAAATGCATGAGGGATGCACTTGCGTTTTAGCTTCAATAAAACTGGTTGGTAACCGTATCGTAAACTATAAACTAGGTTAACGTTATGTATTTAATCTGTGATTTACTTTTAAACGTAGTAATTATAAGATCTTTTTTTGCCATTAAATATATTTTTGTAAGAGGAAGAAATAATTTTCACTGTATATCAAAGTAAGTATCAAAGTAACCCAAGCTTCTATATTCCCAGTACCCGGGGAGGAGATTTTACTGTGTTATTCCAAATATTTAGAGTTCCTAACCGGGTCCCCTCAATACAAAATAAAAACAGATATCTCGTACTCTAGTACATCTTACTGTACTGCCAGAATAATGGATTGATTAAATATCGTTATCTAATCTATGACATTCAACTTATTAAATAAGGAAACAGAAATCGATATTTTTGACAATAATATATCCAGATTCAAACATTCGATAAAATTGTACTTAAGTGCCAATAACATTGTTATAAATTTTTAATATCTTTACCAGTCAATTCATACATTTTTTTTATTTAGTAACGTTTTAGTAACGTACTTTTTATACTGCTTTTTTTTTCTGTTTTAACCGTATTTTAGTTAGTGTTTGTATTATTATAATGCTCGTATTTCACATTTAGTTTTGTAAAAGTTTTTTGGTTTTTGTCTCTACTGCCTGTTGTAAAGTAATTTTTACCTATAATTAAGGTACCACTCATCACTTTTTTGCAAACCTTGTATAATTATTCTGTCACAGTGTGTACTTTGTTGGTGATAAATAAATAAATAAATAAATAAATAAATAAAATAAATAAAAAAATAAATAAATGACGATGACGTCATCTTAGAATTGCTCTAGCATTCACCTATGCGTGTTCTAGCATCGTCTAGCATTGAATGTACGTCGCTAACATTGACCTACTACTGGATCTGCGCTTCACAGTAAACTCAATGCGTTACGCTTACTTTTATAGGGCTTTATTTCAATGAAACACCGCAGTATGTTTTAACATTTTTAACGCATTTATCATTTAGGTAGTCGTGGCCTAGTGGTTGAGAACCTCGTTTCCTGATTTAAGGTTCTACATTCGAATCATCAATCATTTACAATCAATTACAATTATTTAGAATCAATTACATCAATCATTGGTAAGAAAATAGTTTCATTTTGTCGTATGGTGGAGCATGGCTAACTGCGGTTAGCTTGTAAGGGTAAAATATGTCTACGTTTGTATTCAGATTGATTTATAATATATAATTCTGTATAAGAAAAGTTTAATAATTAAGATTATATCGTGTTTTAATTTTTCGAAATTTCTTCAAAGTCCCATCAAAATCCGTCCAGCCATTTCGGAGATTAGCAGCAAATAGACAGAATGACGGAAAGACCGACAAAAATTGTAAAAAAAATGTTTTTTTGGTATATGTACCGTGTATACATCCATATACATTTAGTAAAACGCCATTATTTTAATTTTACAAACAAACACTCCAATTTTATTTTTCTCTATTATATTATTATAATTATAAATTATAAATAGGAAACACTGGATTTCATAATGTTGTCTGATTTATTCTTGAGGAGGCCATTGTTGCGTCTACTAAGAAGAGGTCTCGTTGATTTCTCACTCAAAGGATGCAACAACTGTTCAGTGAGAAAATGCCGCAAGCGTTCTTGGCACATTGCCAAGTTGGGTATGATTGCTAGATGACGTGAATTTTATTTAGTTTTTCGAAATATTTTGAGTAATTTTGTTTTGTTACATGTACCAAAATGACTTATCATAGAAATTCAAGAGAAACATATTATAAATTAAGTAAGGGTCCTCTATATCTGAGAATTAAGACGAGGAAAATATTTGCTTAACATTTTTGACTGATGAAACACTAGACAAAGTACCTATTATATTCATGTTTACAATTTAGTCCCATTAAAAGCATAATTTTTCCTTTTTGTTATATTATCATACGTAGAAGTTTAAACACCATCTTAATGTGCAAAAGTTAGTCCATGTAATGATGGGATTAAAAGTTTTTTTTATAAAACTTGGGTTAGTTATTTTAGAGAATCATGAGAGCGTATTCTGTCCACTCTCGTGGAAACTGAGCTTTTGTTCAAAATCGGTCTTTCGTTAGAGTTAGTTTCATAATTTGCTGAGAACAAAGTTAAAACGTCCGTACTACAGTGAAAATGTGGTTTTGTGTTAGATTGGATGGTCAACAGTTAAGTGGTTCAACCTTTGTAGTATGTTAAGTAAAATCGTTTATTTGAACATATTAAGCTCTTAGACGGGATCGTTGTCCATTACATTCTAATTAAACCCTTGTGACGAGGGTTTAAACGATGTTAACTGGCTCCTATAATCGCGCCTTGAGAAAAATTTGACGGTCTTAAAACAGGTGACTTAAAAGCAAACCACTACTTCAAAAAGTTCCCCGACTTTTAATACCTTAACGGGGGAGAAAGAGATAGCAGACGTCTATTTTCACCGGATTCTTCAGGTGACGGGACGGTCATTGATGAGAATTATTATTTATTAAAACATGTAGAAAAAGTACGAAAAGATTGTCGCCGCTGTGGGAATCAAACCCACGTCTTCGGCATTCGCGGCCTGACGCTCTAGCCACTGAGCTAAAAGGCTGATAGCCACAGCGACGAAAATCTTAACGCCTTCTTTTTACATTGTTATTTAGCATTTGAAGCAATGCTTGGCGCATCTATTGTTATATCCTTTCCAGCATACAAACAATTTCGAATATCGTTTTACAACGATAATTCGAACGAGAGATGTCACCATTGCTTTTTATAAATTTTAAAGTTTTTTATAGTGCTAATCTCTGCACTTAAGATTAAACATTAAAACTAAATTATTCTAAATATGATCAAGTGGTCAAATATGATCTGGCGATCCGTAAAACTGAAAACGTATATTTACTGCAATAGTATTAAACCTTGATGATAATAATAGATTATCATTTACTAACTGAAAATAGAAGCAAGTATAATGGACTCTATGACGCTACCAAGTTTCTTTGAGCCGTTATTATTCTCGCAGTTCTCTTAACAGCAGTTCTTAGCAATTTAACTTTCTTGCATTTTGCTCTGTTAGTTTCTCGTTCAAGTAGGATTTGAGTACTACTAATATGTTATAAATGGGAATAGTAGAGTTAATACATAATGAAAGCTATCACCATTTCGTTTAATTGTATATTACTTATGAATAAATAAGAACAGGTTTTGAATTTCTGAATACGATAAAATAAAGTGATTACATTTTTGGCACTCATTTTGAATTTTTATCATCGCGAACCACCCCGTCATTTGATAACTTTTCACATAAAACAAAAGGTGTTGTTAAATTAACTCTCTTACTTTGTTCGGATTGAACTGTTCCGGAGAAGTTCAACGACCTCACAGAAGACTGCATTTTGTCAGGTAAGTGAGTTAACGGGGGCCCTCTATATTAAAAGGTATGTGCACCCCATCGAGTAATGCGGGCGTCTATGACCGGCAGTTATCTCTTGACATCAGGTGAAATGCGAGCTCGCTTGCTCGCTCTTTCATGAAAAAGACGTAAATAATTTAATGCTTAGAAAGATGAAAGATGTCATTAGAAAGAAAAGCTCATTCATGACTATTTCCATATCGTATATGAAACAATCTGGAGTATAAATGTTTTATTCACGGTCTGTCATCTAAGCGGGATTTATCGCGATATTTTCGTGAAAGCTAATTCAACCCGCCCTCACAATTGAAAAATATTTTATTCAATGCAGATTTCAGTAGTACTTTCGGGAGGTGAATGTCTTTTCACTGCAAAAAGAAGCCCGTTCTTACTTAATGTACTTTCTGGTATGTGTCGTATAAGAGTTCTAACTTTTTTACCTTGATTTTAATATTTTAACTATTACTGAACTTGAATATTAACAACTATTATAACGACAAGCAGCACTAGTGGTTATAGAACCGTCG